AAAAAAAAAAAAAAAGGAGATTGGAGCAAAAGAGAAAAGAGCAAAAAGTCACGGTTCCGGCACGTTGATTGCTAGTCTCCAAGCGCTTCTATCCACCGCTAAATCCCTGGAGATATTCCAAGCGCTTCTACCTCGCTTAACAACATCGGCCCGCTGTAGAACTCCCCTACGCACCGGTGCATCAGGAGGCCTCCGTTGGACATGTCCGAACCACCTCAGCCGATGTTGAACCAATTTCTCCTCAATTGGAGCCACCCCGACCCTATCACGAATATCCTCATTTCGGATTTTATCCCTTCTTGTGTGCCCGCAAAACCAACGCAACATCTGCATCTATGCTACACTTAGTTGTTGGACATGTTGCCTTTTTGTAGGCCAACATTCAGCACCGTATAGCATCGCCGGACGAATCGCCGTCCTATAGAACTTATCTTTTAGCCTTTGTGGCACCCTCTCATCACAGAGAACGCCCGAAGCTTGACGTCATTTCAACCAACCTTCGGGCGTTCTCTGTGATAAGAGGGTTCCACAAAGGCTAAAAGGTAAGTTCTATAGGACGGCGATTCGCCCGGCGATACTATACGGTGCTGAATGTTGCCTACAAAAAGGCAACATGTCCAACAACATTGGGCTAAAAAAATAAAAAAAAACATTGGGTTGAAAACCAAAAATAAAATTAATATTTTTTTTGTGAAAATGTAAATGCTAAAAAAATTATAGTCTTTGATTTTGTTACTTAATGATATCTTCATTGTGCTTAAAATAATGATCGCTATTATTGTCTTCAAAATATAGCTTTCTAATGTCATCCTTTTACATCATACTCTTTGAAAAATAACTCAAATTTGCTATAACTATAATTTATAATGATTATTTTTTATTTATTGTCGATTGGAAGCTAACAAACTATGTCTAAATAATTCGTTCTCAATTATTTTGATTATTGTGGTTGCAAGTGTAATTATATTTGCAAGTATAATATTTCATAATACTTAGATATATATAGTTATTCCCTAGTCATAATGACATAAGAGATACATAAATATTTGAAAATGTCTTTAATTCAAGTCGTAATTAACTAATTATTTCAAAAAGAAAATTTACTTGAAAAGCATAGAAATAATAACATTTTTATTGATTAAAGCTACCTATCTATCTATATATCTTTTCCGACATAAATTATTGTTGCATCTCCTAACATTGTCATATATCCATTATCTTCATTCTCGAATTTTCAAGACTATCCTAAATGTGAATAATTACTAATTCCAGTTTAAATGAATTATGTAATGATGATTCCTTCATATTTTATTTTTATCTTAACATTATTTTATATCTTCGTCAACATTTCATCCCTACTTTTGCTTAAAATAATTATCATTGATATTGTCATCAAATATAGTTTTCTAATGTCATCTTTTTGCATCATACTTTTTGAAAAATAATTCAAATTTGTTATAACTATAATTTATAATGATCATTTTTTATTGTAGATTGGAAGTTAAAACATTATGTTTGAATAATTCGTTCTCAATTATTTTGATTACAGTGGTTGCAATTAGCCATATTTGCAAGTATAACATTTCATAATACCTAGATATATATAATTTTTCTCTAGTCATAATGACATAAGAGACACATAAATATTTGAAAATGTTTTTAAAGTCATAATTATTTCAAAAAAAAAAAAATTACATGAAAAAACTTAGGAATAATAACATCTTTTAAAGATAATCATCTATCTACATATCTTGTCCAACATAAATGCTATTTTAATTCATGTAACACATTATTGTAAAAAACATTTATACTATACATACTATTAAGAGGTAAACATAAATCATATTATGCATATTGTTTTAGTGAATAATTTAAACAAATATTTATGTTAAGATTATATTTTTTTTTACTTAACAAATAACTTTTTTACATAGAAAGTTGACATTTTGTATGTTGAATAATTATATTTGATTCAATTATTCTTAAACATATGCATGTTCACTAAATTTTTCTTGTTTAATTGTTTTAATACTATAACCAAAAAATTGTTTGGAAACAATATAATATTTAGAAATTAAAGATGATACTTTTAGTGATGCATAATATATTTCACACTTATGAAATATCATATATTTTATTTAAGAAATCTTAAAATAATTTTTTTCCTTACATTTTAAAACTGCCTTTAAAATAACCAAATTGAAACCTAACATCATATGTAGATTAATTCAAAATAATATAATTAAGAATAAATTATTATTTAAAATATATTAATTTGTGTAGGTAATGTTTTGTATGTGTAAGAACTTAAAGATATAATTAAGCATCAAAATAAAATATTATAATTAAAAGTTGTAACTTCCTAACATGAATAAGAAAATTACATTAATAACCTTAACACTTATCTTTTTATAAGGATATTATTGGCAATTCAAAAGTTTCAAGAAACAACTCATACTTTTAAGGGAGTTATAGATAGATAGATTATAGATTTGATGGTTTTCTTGTGTATGGAGACAATTGCCTATCAAAATTATGCATGATGTTTCTTTTATGAAAAATGTTTACATGAATATTGATTTGCAGATAGTGAAATGTCAATATTTTCCTGACAGGGAGCTCGTGTTGGGCTTTATTTTATTAATAGACCAGAATGGATAATCGTGGATCATGCATGCTCAGCATATTCGTACATTTCAGTTCCTTTATATGATACCCTTGGTATGTTGGTTTGCATGCAGTTGAGCCTTCCTTATTCTTAATCAACTACTCCAATATCTCGTTATGTTTTGTGGGGCATTAACAGGTCCTGATGCTGTTAAATATATTGTGAATCACGCTGATGTACAAGCCATTTTTTGTGTGCCAAGTACCTTAAACACTGTAAGTCTGTTTATTTTTCTTGAAGAACAGACCATTGAATATATTGTTGATTGAGTTTTATTGCTATGAACTGCCAATTTTAAAAGGATGACAAAAAGGCTGCTTTGGAGAATGTTGATTGTTCTATTATGTAAATCTGCCGCTGCACTTTACCTATGGTAAAAGAATTTGAGAACAAAATCCTGAAATAGCTGTATCAATGGTATCATTTTTCATGTGTGTACGTAATTCACTGTTGTTACTAATGATGCCAATGCCATGAACTTTCTATTGTTTGCTGTTATGTCTCCTGGATTTCCTTTTATGATGTACTACTTAAAAAACTAGTAAGTAACTATAATTTCTTTAATGGTTATAATTGCTGGTAGATTTTTTTAAGCATAATTCCTTTTATCTAAATCAGCATGATTTCCATTTCAGTTATTATATATGATTGCAAGTGGTTCTTGATATATATTTATTCTTTTTTCTAAAACTTGCAGCTGCTAAGCTTCCTGTCCGAGATTCCATCTGTACGTGTAATAGTGGTATGCAAACACGGATCTTCTTTTAACTATTGATGTATACAAACATCTTCCGTATTTCCATTTTATTGACATGTATACTTCTTGGTAACATAGGTGGTGGGTGGGGTAGATGAACATCTCCCATCTCTACCTTCCACTACAGGAGTTGAGCTTTTATCGTACACGAAATTACTAAGTCAGGTACATGCAATATCTTGCTAGCCTTGAGTGTTTTGATACTGTTAATTAGTACTTCTATTTTACTATGGCATACAGGGACTGTAAAAGGTTTTATGGGTTGCACTTTGATTTTCCTTTTGTAAAATGTGATTGGATGTTGACAATTTTTTATTGTTTCATTCGTATATAAAGTTGCATAACTTTTATTTACACTGGATAGAACCCTATATTATCTAGAGAAGTACACACTTTCTATTATCTCCCTTCCAAGAAACATTTAGTGTTGCTTGCGCTTGCACCTGATTCCTAGAGGGGTGCTACGGTTGGGTTGGTTTCGTGGTGAAAAATGTTGCTTTTGAGATGTGCTGAATGAGCGACAAAGTAGTGATTACCCTAGGATTCTGGTTGTATAGGATAATCGGAATATGTGTAGTCCTGGGTGGCATCAGCGAGTCTTGAACTACTTATGAATCATATGATAGAAGACTCAGTATTATAATGATAACTGGCGTTGTACTCTGGATCTCACAATTCTGCTGTCTGTAAAAGTAACTTGATAGTGCTTTACCCCTGATTCTGTATTGGTAATGATAGTTTGTTTCCCAATGACATCACTGTTCAAATTTTCATTGGAAAGCACGTAGTTAATTCCCTGTTATCTATACCCAATCCTTCCTGCTATTTGATAGATTTTTTTTTTTTTTTCAATAGATTTTTTTTTTCTTTTCAATAAATTCTCCAACTGTTATGGACTTGTCCATATTTCTGCTTTTATTTTTAGATTCAAAAAATAATCTACTGTCTTTTTATCTATTGCTGTTACTGACAAATTATAGTCAGCAGATGATAGTTGAAGTATTTAATATCTGCAATTGTTATTTTTTCAGGGTCGCAGTAACCTACTTCCATTTTGTCCTCCCAAACCCGAAGACATAGCAACTATATGCTATACAAGTGGTACTACTGGGACACCAAAGGTAGCAGCTTCAGCTTTCCGATCTTTAGTACTTTCAGTTGAATCCCTGTTCAAAATGTTTATGTAATTATAAATGTAATGTAGCCTTCTTTTCCCCTTCTCTCAATAGGTAGCAGATTCTGCTTTCCGATCTTTATAGTTTTGGTTGAATCCATGTTTAAATTGATTTTTTTTTTCAAATGTATGCATCCTTTTTTCTCTTCTTTCTGTAGGGAGTTGTACTGTCACATGGAAACTTGATTGCAAGTATTGCTGGAATGACGCTTGTAATCAAATTTAATTCCTCTGACATGTGAGTTGTCTTGAATTATGATTAGTTGCATCCTGTTTCCATCCTATTTTACGGACCAAATTATTTTATAAGCAGTTACATATCCTATCTTCCCCTGGCACACATCTATGAACGAGCTAATCAGATTATTTCGGTGTATTACGGTGTTGCTGTTGGCTTCTACCAGGGGGTATGTACTTCAATTATGTTTTTTATCTGAGGTTTTCTTTATATGATAATGGGAGTCAAAAGGGTTTTTGTGCTATCTAGAGGTTCATGATTCCACTGTGGTGTGATAAGCATGTCTTTTGCAATTTTTATTTTGCTCAAGTCAAACGAAAGCTTTTCATGTGAAGGCGTGCTACTAATCTGCAGGATAACCTGAAATTGATGGATGACTTGGCTGCTCTGAGGCCCACTATTTTCTCCAGTGTTCCTCGTTTATACAACAGAATATATGCTGGGTACAATCCATCAGATGACTTTCATCTCTGTTGTCCTCGAAATTATTATTTTCTTATTTGGACTGTTCTTGTAGGATTACAAATGCTGTGAAAACTTCTGGTGTTCTGAAGGAGAGGTTATTTAATGCGGCATACAATTCCAAGAAGCAAGCTGTAATGAGTGGTACGGTTGATAAGTATCTGGGATCGTCAAATTCCTTAGCAGTTCTCTTTTTGGTGACACCTTTTGAAGCCTTATAAGCTAACTTAATTAAACCTATTAAATGTTATCATGGATTGAATCTTGGCCTGGGAAAATATGTGACCAGATAATGTCGCTCATAGCCTCATAGGACCTTGCTTTAGTTTTCCTTTTCTACATATTGTATTTATCTTCTTTGTAAAGCTTATATGCGGTGTTTCTCTGGGTTTCTTTTAACGACATCAAAATGGAATGACTTACTTCTGTTAAGTATGACACATGGCAATACTTTTTTCAAAAAATGACTAGTTATGAAATGGTACAACTGACAAACATTCGATTATGTGCCTTTCATGTTCTTTTTTTGCCATTTTTATGGAACTACATGTTCACGTTCTCATTGTTGCAAATCGCAACCATCTCCTTTAAATAGGGCGAAAACCATCACCAATGTGGGACAGATTGGTGTTCAATAAAATAAAGGACAAGCTTGGAGGCCGAGTCCGTTACCTGACTTCAGGTGCTTCACCATTGTCTCCTGATGTGATGGAGTTTTTGAGGGTGTAAGTTGAATATATTTATCGACATTCAATCTTTCTGGAGATGATCATGATACATTCACTCTTCTAAAAATTTTCATCCACTTGCAGGTGTTTTGGATGCCAAGTGGTTGAAGGTTATGGCATGACAGAGACATCTTGCGTCATTAGCTCTATGGAAGAGGGTGACAACTTAACAGGTCATGTTGGTTCCCCCAATCCTGCATGTGGTAAGTTGTTAGAACTTTTTTTTTTCATAAATCGTAGTATCATTAGTGTGTAAAACTCTTATGATATCAAATTTGTTTACTTAACTTCCTTAGTGGGAATATTTTATAGAAGGATTGTGAAAAAAAAAAGAAAACAAAAAACATAGACTGAGGTTGTGTTACAACATTTAGATGAGCACATGAAGCATTTCTTGTGAAACTGATTTCTGGTCACTCCAGAAATAAAGCTTGTGGATGTGCCTGAAATGAATTATACCTCGGAGGATCAACCACATCCTCGTGGGGAGATTTGTGTCAGAGGACACACAGTGTTCCAAGGCTATTACAAAGATGAAGTCCAGACGTAAGTATCTGTGTGATGTCATCATGTTCGGACTGCTTGACTTTATTTTGATGGAAAAAGTTAATTGATCTTTCTCAATATGTACAGGAGAGAAGTAATGGATGATGAAGGCTGGCTGCACACAGGAGATATTGGATTATGGCTACCTGGGGGCCGCCTGAAAATCATTGATAGGTGACTATCCTTTTGTTGAACTATGATAAACCTTCTTTTTATCTTCTAAACAACAACAACAACAACAATAATAATAATAATAATAATAATAATAATAATAATAATAATAATAATAATAATGATGATAATGAAAATTTGGGCATTATTTCCTTTCCCTTTTCAAGTTGTTTTTCCGCCCCTCGAAGAATCTCCACGGATGCTAAAATTTCTTCTTAGGGGAAGGGCATTCTGTTTACTTATAGCAGTCGAGGGTCTTGAAGAGATTTTAAACGCGTTTTGTTTCCTCATCGTCAACAGGAAAAAGAACATATTTAAGTTGGCCCAGGGTGAATACATCGCACCAGAGAAAATTGAGAATGTGTACGCAAAGTGTAAATTTGTTGCACAGTGCTTTGTGTATGGTAAGAAATATATTATTATTTGTTTCCTATGCAAAAATAATTTAATGTTTTCTACTGACGAAGGTCATGCCTATAGGTGATAGCTTGAACTCATGCCTTGTTGCTGTAGTCTGTGTGGAACCAGATGTTTTGAAAGATTGGGCAGCATCAGAGGGTATCAAGGTAACTTTACCCGTCCACTTGTTCTGTCATCAGATCCCTTTCCTGTATGTTGTTCTTCTGAATTCTGCTGCCCTTCACCTTGTATATAATATACACCCTATATCCCATTTCCCCTCGACTTCACTTCTCTTTTTGTGCCAAGTGATGGTAACTTTTTTTAGGAGCCCTTCTAAGTGGAATCTTTGAAAAAGTAGGGATTCTTTCAACATAATCCTCTATCTGAGTCATTGTAGATGCAAATTTGAAATGTTACGCTAGGCCTTCTCAGAATAGTTGGTCAATGTTGGAATTAATGTGAATAAGGTTAATATTAGAAACATTGGGTATTATTTTGAATTGATTCTATGAAGTGCATTAAATGATTTTTCCTAAGCTTTGTGCAAATAAAGAAATGAAACCCTCTTTTCCAGACTGAAACGAGTATCTGCTTGTCTTCTCGCAATGCTCAAGTTTTGGATTTTCACAAAACTCCTGACTCATAACTACAAGGAGCAAAAATGTCTTCGAGGAAAAGAGATTTTTTTTTTAACAAAATCAGTTTTGTTATTTATTTGTTTTCTCGAAGTTTCATTAGGTAACTATTAGAAATAGAAACAGTTTCAACCATGTACTCCTGGTGCAGTATGAAGATTTGGGGCAACTGTGTGCTGATCCAAGAGCAAGAGCTGCTGTACTTGCAGACATGGATGCTGTCGGCAGGGAAGCTCAGGTTAGTATAATTTAAGTAGATACCTATTTTTTAATTATATTTGGGAGTCTCTTAATGTTAATATTTTTTCCACAGCTGAGAGGTTTCGAATTTGCCAAAGCTGTGACACTAGTGGTTGAGCCGTTCACTCTGGAAAATGGCTTGTTGACTCCAACATTTAAGGTATAATAAACTTGTACTAAAGTTATTAGTCCCGGAAACCATTAAGAAAAAACTTACCATGCTTAGTGAGTATTTTGGAGGAGATTATGGCTAGTGTTCGGTAAATCAATGGTATCTCTAGCTGATAAGCTAGCTTATAGTTTTTAAGTGAATCTCGAGCTTATAGCAGATAGCTTATGACTTATGGTTGAAAAGCTAGTTTATATGATAGAAATTAAATAAGCTATAAGGTGGTTTATATGCTTACAAAACACAACCTATAATATACAAGATTCGCGGTAATATTCCTCTTTCTCGTCAGTAATTTGAAACCTTGCGTGTTTGCTTTGTAAATTTTTCAGATCAAAAGGCCTCAAGCAAAGGCCTACTATGCGCAAGCAATAGCTCATATGTACACCGAGCTCTCAACATCCGATCCAACACCACAAAAGCTGTTGTAACAAAAGGGTCTGATAGAAGAATATAGAGAGAGGTCTCCATGCCCGTGAAGCCGTTTTAATAAAGAGAGATGCGACTTGCTGAGGATGATGTTCTTAGTGTCTAATGGCTGTACGATTTTTGTTCATTATTCAATAGTCACTTTAATTTTAAGTTTTCTGATCCTATTAAGTGGAAATGAACATAGAATTAAGTTCTCGATTCATTTGTCTGGTTGCCAACTCCATCACTTAAATAAGATTTGGTCGGGGAATATACAAATGGTAGCCAAATTGGAAGTTAAAAAGAGTTTTAACCGTCGGATCACATTTCACATTTTCATGTCCACATTAGATGAATTAGGTGCACCCTACGAAATTGTACTAGTCATTTTTCGTTTCCTTTTAATTTTAGTTTTAATGCTCAGTTTGCGAAAAAAAATTGCTCTCCATCATCTCCTTTGATCTCAAGATAATGCTCCTGATGGTTTCGACCATTGACCCGTGCATCAGATTTTTTTTTTTTTTTTTTTTTTCAGCCACAATTAAATGGGATTTGATAAAAAGTTAGATGCATTTTGTGAAGATGGGTTCATTTGAACTAATGACATGACTTGCTTTGCTTAATATAGACCTACATAATTTAGAAACAAAATGGTTTGAAACGAGCCGATTCGATAATATACATGGAACATTAATGACCTGTCAAATATTATAGGAAAATGTTAAAGTCCCGGAGATGGTACCGTCAGCGTTTTTCATCATTGGATACACATAAATTATGTTGTGTTGATAATCTGCGGTAACCAACATTGTCGGAACTATTCCGTCAACGGGACTGTAGTAGTTCCCAATACTATATACCGATTCAACATTTTTACTGATGACATGGAAGCTTCTTGTAGTAGCATCTCTGAGCTCATAGACCGAGCACGCTCCACTTTGTTCATCACATGTCAACAAGTCTATCCTAGGATTTCTCTAATGAACAAAAATATAATTATTGTACAGATACCAAATTCTTCATATTACAAATGCAACACAACAGCAATTAATACAGGGAACTCGAGATAAATAACCTGATAATCATACACAAACCTTTTCAATTCTTCTCCTTCTATCAGCAAGGTGCAGAAAACATGAATGTGGCAAACCTGTTCAATCGACCACTCGGAGGTTTAAGCCTCCACCCAGGCAGTCCATCTATGATGCAACTGAACATGAACTTGAATAGGGTGAATTAAATTATACGTATCACTGCTTTACGAGAGGCCTCGTATTATCCCAAAGCCATTGATGTGCTGAACCTTCCAATAATGGAGAAACCTGTTGATAAAAGATAGAACGAAAATTTGAAAATGAATCGTGTTTAAGTTCAAATTTAGCCTATAGGGTTATGGGAATATCCAATTATAGCTCTATTGTAGAGACTTCAGGTTAGTGGTTTTGCTGAAACACTAATCAATCAAGGTGCGAAGGTCTCTTTATATATATTTTCATAAGACAATAATATGTTACAAAGAGGCTCACCTTCTCCCAGACTTGTTTGTGGTAATCATTTAACCATTCTACTTCTCTTGTGGAAAGTAGCGACGTGTCAACTAGCTTGGTCTGCACGTTGTGAAGAAACACAGAACCAAAGATAATTATTTAGTGCCATGTTTAAAAATCACATTCTACAGTGAGTTGAATATGTGGAGCAAATACGACATAATTTCATGTTGAGTTACACCACCAAAGAATGTAAGATACAATGATATAAAAAACACTATAAATTAGCCACATTTTCCAGCCTATATAGGTAGCATCAGTTAATGATCCCATCACATATCAGTTGTGGAGGAAGAGTGACTGAATAATTCATAAAGCCTCAAGCAGCTCTAACTATTTTACAATAATTGTTCCAAAAGTCAAGTTGGACGTGCAGTGTAACGGATAATTTAGGGAAGATATTTTCTATACTTATCTTTAGTATCTAAATATTTTCTATAGTTATCTTTAGCATCTAAATATTTAGTTTGATATCATCCTTATCTCTTGTAATCTATATATATGTATTCTGCATTCTCAATCTCGTAAGCAATGAAAATAACAGAAAAGAAAAACTCTTTCTCCATGTTCTCTTTTATCATTTCAGCATGGTATCAGAGAGGTAAAATTCGCCACCAACGCCACATATAATCTTATTTCACCATCATTTTTTTTTCTTCATCGTCGTCATGTCCTCTGGCGTCACTTCCCCTTCAAATTACAAAACTATTTCACCATATGATATCACGTCCAGTGACAATCCCGGATGTGTGATTTTTACGGTTCTCTTAACCGGACAAAATTATATTGAATGGTCCTCCTCGCTCCGAACGGCTCTCCGGGCACGCAAAAAATTTGGTTTTCTTGACGGTTCCATTCCCACGCCGGCTAACAACTCTCCAATTCTCGAAGATTGGTTCGTCAATAACTCGATGTTGGTTTCATGGATAAAGAATACAGTTGATCCGACAATACGATCCTCCATACCTCAAATCGAGCTCGCCAAAGAATTGTGGGATCATCTTCGCCGTCGTTTTTCCGTTGTTAACGGGACTCGAATTCAGCAATTAAAAGGGGAATTGGCTTCTACAGTGCAAAAAGGTATGACCATTAGTGCATATTATGGCAAGCTGAGAACATTATTTGATGAATTAAACTCATATCTACCGCCAATCAAATGTACCTGTGGACATGCCCGAGAATGTGAAGCCCGCAGAGATGCCGAAGAAACTCACCAATTTTTGTTGGGACTAGATAGAGATGTGTATGGGTCGGCCCGCTCCAGTCTTTTGACCCAGGATCCATTACCGACGTCATGAGCTTCGCCACCACCGCGACACGAAAATCGTCATCTCGGCCTTCTCGTTCTTGCAATCTCTGTGGTCGATCTGGACATGAAGCCCCAAATTGCTTTCGGGTTAAACCCTGCCCTCACTGCAACCGCACAGGACACGATCCCCGCCGCTGCTTCGAGGTCGTCGGATATCCCGAAGGCTGGTCCGACAAGTCTCCTGCGGCTTCTTCTAACGGCGCACCTCCGGCGGGGCAAGGGCGATCGAACAACGCCTCCTCTTCTTCGGCTGGAAATAACAGAGGGTTGATTCCCTCAGTTTCAGCTAAAGCCCACGCTACAGGTTTAATTGAGGCTACCCCTGTTGGGCCTGGTCTTGTTGGCCTGGCAATATTGGTTCTCCTATTCAATTTGGTACTTATGAGGATAATTCTATATCGTCAGCTACAGGTTTGAGTCCGGACCAATGACAGGCATTAGTTAATCTTGTCCGTCCCAATAAGTCTGAGACTACCGCTTCTAATCATTTAACTGGTAAAGATTATTCTTATAATTGGATGTATGATTGTGGTGCTACACATCACATGACTGGATTTTTTCAGTGTCTTGTTGATATTTGTGATATTTCACCTCGCTCGGTGCAGCTTCTTGATGGGCAATTAATTATTGCGACTAAAGCCGGCAAAGTTCGTCTTAGTCCCAATTTGGTCTTGCTCAATGTTCTATTTGTTCCTAATCTTAAATGCAGTCTCATTTCCTTATATCACTTGTTGGAAGATCATGGGTGTACAGCGCACTTCACTAATATTGACTGTCTGATACAGGACCGTACTACGAGGACAGTGATTGGTCTGGGTGAACAAAAGGGGGGGTTATATTTTTTTGTGATCCTATGAAGACAGTGACGGCTAAGGTATCTGTTAGCGGTTCTGTGGATTTGTGGCATCAACGGTTGGGACACACACCCTCGCAGGTTATTGGGAAACTTTGTAAGTTAGCTCCTACTCATGTTAGTAGTTTTGACAATAAAGCTTGTGATGTCTGTCATCGTGCCAAACATACTAGAGATTCATTTCCTTTAAGTGACAGTACCAGTTTGGAATCTTTTGCTTTAATTCATTGTAATTTATGGGGTCCTTATCGAGTCCCCTCGTTTTCTGGCGCTAGATATTTTTTGACAATTGTTGATGATTTTTCTCGAGCTGTGTGGCTTTATTTGTTGGATGACAAACGTTGTGTTTCTTCTACTTTGACTGGTTTTTTTGCCATGGTGAAACGACAATTTAATAAATTGGTGAAAGTTGTTAGAAGCGATAATGGGACTGAATTTATGTGTCTCTCTTCTTACTTTCGAAGTCTCGGTATTTTACATGAGACATCTTGTGTAGCTACTCCCCAGCAGAATGGTCGGGTCGAACGCAAGCACCGACATATTCTCAATGTGGCGCGTGCTCTGCGTTTTCAAGCTA